AGCCCAGCCAAAGCCCATGTAAGTGGATCCCGCGTATTTGCCGTTGGTCACGTGTAAGTCGTGCGCGTCGTAGTTTTTACCCGGAAGAGGTACGTAACTGTTGTCGTAATAATAAGCGGTGCCTAATCCGTTTGACAAAGTGTCGCGAGTTTGTTTAAATGATTTATTCGGGTCTACTCCATATAAAAGACACGTGTCCGTAAACTCCAGATGCTCGTAATTATTGCGTAACGCGTCAAATACGTCGTCGCTCGGAATGGGCATCACGCAGTCGTAAAATATTTTTCGTACGGTGTAACATATGTGAAAGTTCATCAAAGCCGAGACGTACGGATTGGGGTCGGACAGCAGATCAAAACCCACACCGCAGGCCGTCGTCGCGCAATAGACCGCAAAATTAAATTGATTTTGGTAAAACGATATCGACTCGGTAGACCAGCGATTGACGGCTTCGTCCGTGGTTACTTTTGGTAATTTATACGCGTGCGTTAAATTTGGAAACTCGGAATATATCACCGTCTTTAATCGCGTGAGATACGTATTCTTTGATGGTGTTTAATTTAGCGTCTGCCAACATTCGAATTTGGTCGTGTTTTTAGTTTTGTGGGTGAGTCTACGGGAGGCATACTTCAATTTCGCGAAAGTGCCAAACGCACCGATAGCGATGTCTTCCATCACAAGTCCCACGGGTCCGGTAACGACTCCCAAAATGGCGGGAATGCCGACGGCTGCCGAGGTTGCACCCAGTGCTTCCACGCCGTACTCCACGTATCCGAGTGCGGTTAAAAGTCGTTTGATCTTTTTGTAACTATTTTCCCTCGCTTCGCGTTCTCTTTGGATTTGGGATTTAATTTCTTCGATCTTTCTGAGTCTGTAAGTTTTGGTTTCCGCTTGTTCAGCCGAGTTTAAAGTCAAATCCGGGTGTTTACTTAATTCTGGTTATACGTTAGACGCCATCTTTTATTATAACATTACTTTTATAATTACGCGTTTTAAAAATGTCTAACTCGATTAAAATTTTGCCGATGTTATTCAAGAGCTTGCCTCTATCGTTTTTAACAGAAAAAGTCAATTCACTGATGTTCCTGTCGATTAACTTTTTAGGCGTTTTACAGTGATTACAGGTGCGAGGCTCGGTAGCTATCACGTACAGCAAGTCTAAAGACTGCCCGTTATAAAAATTATCAAATGTATTTAATTGCTTGCAATGAATAAACGCGAGTTTCATTGGGTTTTAATTGTATTTGCCTTCGTAAATAACGTTGGGTAAAAGTTTTATTTTGGGTAAGTTCAGTAGCTTGGACACTTCTTTGTTTAATCGCAACTTGAGATTGGGGTCCGTAATGGCCAAAGTCACCCGTTTAGATTCTGAGTGAACCTTGAAAGAAACGTCCGGTATCGAGTTTAACAAAATATGAAACCAGTCCATGCTATTATAACCGGGGGATACCACGATGCTTCCTCTTTGGCCCTGGGGTAATGGTTCAGATGAGCTTCGCGAATGAAGTCTGTCGTATATAGGTTCAGTTAGTCCCGTCAAAAAAGTCTTTTAGTTAATTCTCTTCTGGGTCTCGTGGGTGTTACGGGGGATCCAGTCGGGGGATTCCCTTCGTAAATTTCATCTGAAGCTTGTCTTTGCCCCTCGAGCAGTGAAGCTGATTTTACTTTTTTATCGTCGATATCAAAAGCTAAAAGAGCTCGCGTTTCTGATGGTTGTCTTTGGTTTAACCGATCTTCTAAAGTTGCGATTTCTTGGTTTAGCTGCTCAATTTCATCAGCGATGATTCTAATTTCTTCCGCTAAATTGCCTCTTTTATTTGCTTGGATCAATCTGTTTTTAGCTGTTTGTACTAATTCTGAATTGGGAGATACGTCCGTTCTTTCCACTGAGGGTATTCCGGGCGGTCGTTCGCCAAGTACTCCCACGGGCCTACTGTCCAAGTTTGTATCCCACTCAATTTCAGTGGCGTTTGTTACGTTAAAATATCCAGCTTCAAACTGAATATTCTTTACTCAGACGACCTTGTCGCCTTTGGTGTTGTTGATGACATCTCTCAATTTAAACGTCTGCTCGCTCTCGGTTAAGTAAAACGTGTGAGTCTCCATTTTATTATATACGTTTTGAAAAATCTTGTTTTCCCTGTGCTTATCCGAAACTTGAAATAGATCTTTCACTTGAGATTCGGTTTCCCCAGTGGTTTCTTGATAACATACCGCGATTAAAGCCTTCAACGGTTTACCTCTAGAGATCTTACCGTTTAGAACTTGGTTTAACTTATATTCTATTTCACCCGCTTCGCCGTTTTTAAAACAAATGTTATATTTTTGTAGGGCTTTTCTCGATTTTGGTGGTGGAGGTTTCCTCCAAACGTGATGCTTGTAATATCGATCTCCCATGTCTACGGGGGTGTACGAGGAAACCCATCCAAAAATTAGACCGCAATGTTTACACGCGTATCTTTCGTCTGTTTCAAGTATTTGGTGGTTACAAGCGGGTATCGGTTTACTTTGTTTTTGAGATCCCGCTATGTGTACTTCCTTTAGATTCAGCAAGTGACAAAGTTCCGCATCAGTCATCTTTTATTAATAGTTCATTTATTTAAGGTAAAAAATTAACCTGGGATTTCTACTTTAATTAAATGTTCAACGTCAGCGTCGTATTCAATAATTAATCCAATTTTGTATAAATCCGCGTCGAGTTTAGTCGCTGAATCGGGCAGTGGCTCTTTCTCTCGCGCGTGCCTCAGCTTTTTATGCTTGCCGTCTACGAGCACCACGTGATCCATTCCTTCCAACTCGACACAATTTACGCAGCAGGTGCAGTACGTACAACCAAAACACTCGATACAATGGGCACACTCGTAACAGTCCTCGCAACTGTCCAAGGCATTTGAATTTCGGCAGTCGTATGAATTAAAACAAGCCATGCAATTTATACATCTACCGCAATCGTCGCAGTTAGAGCAGTCCTTACATCTGACGCAGTCTTGGCATTCGTGACAATTGTGGCATTCTTTACAATCGGTACATTTGCGTAAACTTTTGGAATTTAAACAACGAAAGCAATCGTACGAATCTATCAAGTCGATCGAATTTCTCGTGTCTTTGCAAAAATAACAATTCACGTTTGTAGTTTTATCTACCATTTATTTTTATGTAGTGTTTATTTATTTATTTTTTTCGTTTTTTTATAACGGGCCAGCGACGAGAAGTCCCTTTTTTGTTTGTGAGTGATTGTTTGTGCGATCGGTGCTGGGCACGAGTTGTTTACAGGGAAAGTGCGCCGGGGTCAAAAGTTCAAGGTCAGTGAAGTGGGAATCCCCGGCGCGTGTGGTTGAAAGGGGGTGAAAGAGGAGGTGGTCCAGAACTCTCCTATCCCTACTACTACGTTTAATTCTTTTAAAATTTTACTCGACTTTCGCTTAATAGGTGTTTTATAAACAAAAGGTTGGTTATATTTACCGCCCACGTTTTCCACTTCGTCTGAATAAATCTGAGCAAACATAATCCACAATCACGACATGCGAGTTTGTAATTTATTATTGTCGTGTCGTCCACACGTCCAAAACATAATAAATAACAAACTCGCATGTCGTGATTGTGGATTAGTGTTTTCTGATGACCGTGGTGGCCAAGTAACTTTTACACCGGTTAGTTCATAAATCTCTTGATCTGTCATTGTTTTATAATATTTTTTTTTAATATATATAGTCCATTTACTTAAGATAGTTATGAAGTCCTCTAGGGGAACCCTAAATTTCTCATACTCTGGAGGTAATCCCGGATCCTGTAAAGTTAGCTCGTGAGAATCTTCGTCTTCTTCGGATTCTTCTTCATATTCATATTCATCTTCAGATTCTTCACTGTTTAAATGTACTTTTGCGGTTTCATCAATCATTAGGCCTAATTTTTCCAACCTCTTGTCTAAATCCGCTTTTGGTTTAAAGCCGTAGTCTCTAATAAATTTTAGTCTTTTATAATAGCCGTCATTTTGCTTGCAAATAAATATTAAAAATTCTTCGTTACTCAGACCTGTACCGAATTTACGCAACGATAGCAAGAGGAGCAATCGAAGCACTCGGCACATAGTTGGCAGTCTTCACAATTTTGGCAGCTCTCGCAGAAATGACAATGTACGCTGTCGTAACAATCTACGCAATCATAACAATATTCGACATCGAAGCAATCTTTACACAAACCAATACACTGTGTTTTTGAACAGTTGTACCAATCGTAGCTGCATATTACGTTATTGCACGCTTTTACGTTTTTGTCGAAGTGACAATTGAAATTTTTGTCGGTTAAACTTTTTATTTATATAAAAGTTTTTAAAATTTTTCTCCGTTTTTTGTAGCGACTTGGCTCGACATGTTTTTTATTAATAGTCCATTTATTTATGGCGGTTGTAAACATAGCGCAATCCGCCTTAAATAGAACCGCGTTATAAATAGGTCGGGCGGTTGTGAAAGCGAGGGGAATTCCCTTTTTGTTTGAGAGTCACGAGTTGTTTACCGGGGTCAAAGGTCGAGGTGGGTGAATGGTGTGTGCGAAAGTGAAGGGTCTAGTCCACTAATTCAAGCCCCATTGAAAAGAGTGTAAAATCAGCACCATT